CGGACCGCGAGGACTAGCACTGCAGCCTGTTCACTGCCCTCCTCGCCCCGCGGCCTCCGCCCTGACCCCGACAGACTGCCACGGCGCGCCCTTTCTTCCCAGTACCTGTCGGCCCAGGCAAGGTGCGGCCCGCCCATGCGTGTCTTCCCTGCCGCAGCCTGGAGCCGAGCGGCAGAGGCTGGCTGCGGGAGGAGGAGTCCTTCCGGGGTCAGGTGCGGGAAGGTGAAGGGAAGGCCGAGAGGCCTCTTACCCTTTCTGCGTGAGGGGCTGCGTGGGAAGCACCTTCCGCCATTTTTGTTCAGGGTACAGAGGCTCAGGCTTTGCCTGGTGAATGTCAGAACGAAAAGAATTGTATCTTTTTTGCAAACCTGACCAGCACTAGCAACAAAGCAGGGAACTTTCCGGCAGTCGTGGACCGTTATACGAATCTATTGAAAAGTATGGAATTTTTCCCCAGAAAAATGCACAGAGATTTCCATACATTAACGCGCGCGTGCACACACACACACACACACACACACACACACACGTACAGTTTCAGACCCCAGAACCAATCATGGATTAAGAACTTCTGGGCTGGTAATGTAGCTCAGTGATAAAGCGTGTGGTTACTAACCATGAAGCACTGGGTTCTACCCCCAAGAAAAAAACAAAATAACAAGAACAACAAAAATTTTACCATAGACCCTCAGCACACTCAAAAGAATGAAGTTGAAAAAAAAAATGAAGTTAAAAGGCTTGTACACACCCACACAAATGGTGCATTTATTATCCATTTCCTCTTTAGTTGTAGTGACAGTGGTCAATTATGAGGTGTTAGGCAGGTAGTTACTGCACTCAGGTTCTGTCTAATGCACAGTAAACAAATGGGAGTGAAAGAAAAGAAAACAAAACCAAACCAAGCTCCTGCTTGTATGTGCAGTCTTGAACCAAAGTACTCCATTGGAACCACACATTTAAGAATCACAGTGGGTAAGCATACTTAGGTGAAAAGTCAAAATAATTTTGTAAGGATAACTACTACAAGAGAGCAAATGTTACTGTTCCCATAAAAGGAACAAGAATGATCAATTATTTTCAAAATTCCCATTTGGAATAATGGAAAATATGCAAAATGGCGATACCCATGTGATATTACTAGGGGAATAACAACAAAATATGCACAGAATGAGTTCTTCATGAAAATATTTTGAAAAGGAACTCAAGACTTGAAGAACCTGGAATTTATAAAGCCATCTTTATTTCTCCAATCTCCTCTTTGCTGCTTCCTCCCTAGTTGTGTCTTTATTCTCTCATCATCCAGCCAAAGTAAGTGATTTTGCAGGAACATTCTACAAGTTAGAACTTACCCAACCAAGATCTCTAGAAGTAAGAGGATGGTTCCATATGCTAATTTAGAACACCTATTTAGAGTACGGTGACCCATACACGTATCTAAATAATGCAGGACTAGGCATGGTGGCTCATGCCTGTTTCCCCATCACTCCAGAGGCAGAGGCAGTAGGGTCACCATGAGTTCGAGGCCAACGTGGGCTACTTAGTGAGTTCAAGGCCAGCCTGAACTACATAGCTACACCCTGTCTCAAAAAAAAATACAGATTCAATTCCACAAAAATGTTAAACATAGCTTGGCATAATCTCAGCTACTGTGAAGGCAGACACAGAAGGATTACAAGTTCAAGGCCAACCTGTGCAACTTAGCAAATTCTATCTAAAAAAAAAAATAATAAAAAGGACTGGCAGCTTACTTGCATAGCACTTGCCTAGTATGCATAAGGTCCTATGTTCAGTACCAAAAAAAAAAAATTACACAGAGTGACCATATAGCCGAAAAAATCCCACTCGTACATGTAATCCAAGATAAATGAAAATCGACATCTATATAAAAATTTGTACATGAATATGCATAGCAGCATTATTTAATAGCCAAAAAGTAAAAATAACCAAAATGTCCATCAGTTGACCATAAAAAGGAAGCATGTACTGAAAAATGCTATAATATGGGCATATCTTGAAAACATTATGCTAAATAAATTTAGTCACAAAAGACCACATACTGTCTGATTTTGTTCATGAGAAATGTCCATAAAAAGCCAATCCATACACAGGAAATAGATTCAGGCTGCCTGGGAGTGGAGGGTGGAAGGAAATGCAAGTGACTGCTAAAGGATACCGGGCTTCTTTGTGGGGTGGTAAAAAGGTTCTGAGCTTGGATTGCAGCGGTGGTTGTACAAAACTGAATATACTAACAACCATTGAGGTGTGCACTGTAAATCTGTGAATTTTATGACATGTGACTCATATCCCAATAAAGCTATTACCAAAACAAATTATTACTGCTGTTTCCTTTTTACCTTTTTTCTTTTGCCATACTGGGAACCATCTTAGAGCCTCATACATGCTAGGCAAACACTCAACATTCCCAGCCTCTGTTTTTTTAGATTAAGAAATAGAGACTTATAAAGTTTATGAAAGTGGTAAGAGCTGGAGATCTAAGGCCAGAAAATGTGCTAGACCAGAGATGGCAAAGCTTTTAGAGACAAGTGCCCAAACTGCAGGCCCAAACCCACTTAATTGTCATAAAGTGCCAACACTACCTTTAAACCTGAATACTAAGGTTTTAGAAACACAACTCTACATTAACATCTTTTGTCCTAAAACAAACATAATATGTGTGCCATAGTTTTGCCACCACTGCTGTAGAACATGCTTTCACTGTACAGCCTCAGAAGGTGTGAAAATGCTGGCCTGCTAGGTGGGTGTGATGGCCCAGGTTTGTAATTCCAGTACTTGGGAGGCTGAGACTGGAGGATCACTGGAAGTTGGAGGTCAACCTGGGCTACACAGTGAGTTCAAGGATAGCCTGAATGACATACCAGGATCCTGCCTCAAAAAACAAAAATAAATACATTAAAAAACAAACAAACAAACAAACAAAACAAAAAAAAAATATATATATATATATAGGGAGGGCTGGGGATTTAGCTCAGTGGTTCTGCCACCTGCCTTGCAAGCACAAGGTCCTGAGTTCAATCCCTGGTTCCAAAAACAAAACAAAACAAAACCCACAAAATATAAATAGGGCCAGGGATTTAGCTCAGTGACAAGCCTACCTTGCAAGCACAAGGACCTGAGTTCTATCTCTGGTACCAATAAATAAATAAAATGATAAGTAGAATAAATAAACAACAAAGGTATTTTTCTGGTAAAATCCTGCTAAATAAACGTGGGTTAAAAAAAACATAGCTGGGCTTGGTGGCACACGCATGTACTCCCAGCACTCAGGAGGCTGAGGCAGGAGGCTCCCTGTGAGTTCAAGACCAGCCTGGGCTACATAGTGAGTTCCAGGTCAGTCTCAACTACATAGTGAGACCCTGTCTCAAAAAAAAAAAAACAAAAAAACAAAAAAACAAAAAAACAACTTAACCTCAGCTGTCTTAACTTTTCCCTAAAATATGAAATATGCAGTCAGCCCTGAGTGCAGCCTTTCATCTTTGTGCTCACAGAGGATGCCAATTAGGCCTCAGGTCTCCTTTGGTCTCTGACACTTGGCTCTAGAGACCTATGTGCTATTGCTAAATTTAGTTTGGAAGCTGGGTGTGATGGCTTATGCCTGTAGTCTTAGCTACTTGAGAGGCTGGGGCAGGAGGATAGTTTCAGCCTTGGTGTTTGGGCCAGCTTGGATAGCATAGCAAGACCCACTGTCTCAGAATAAAGTAAATAAATAAATGTAGTTTGAGAAAAGTTGCACCTGCTGTCTACATATTTGAATGATAGAGATTTTTTTTTAACCAGGCATCATGAATTAGCAAATTATAGAGATTTTTTCTTTTTTGTACCAGGGATTGAACTCAGGACCTTGTGATTGTGAGGCAGGTGTAGCACCACTGAGCTAAATCCCCAGCCCAAATAATAGAGAATTTCAAAAGTACGAGAAGGCAATTACTGTCTCTCTGAGTTAGAAAATATATCTTAGCTTCTTTCAAATTTTTCTACTCGTCTTTTTCAACCATGTTATCAGTTTGTTCATTTTTTACATTGTGTCGTGTACTGAGCTAAATGAAGGAAATACTAGGCTGAGTTAAAAAAAAAAATCTCTGCCCATAGGTTGGTACAGGAAACAGAAAAGTACAAAATAATGACATTACAAGGTATTGCATAATCACAATAATAGCATCCCTGGAGAGCATGCAGGACACAGTACGACTGGTAGGAAACTGGATGCACCTTGAGACCGTAATGTTAAGGGAAGTAAACGAGACACACAGGCTTACGTATTGCATGTTTTCTCTCACACGAGAAACCCCCAATGTAAATAAAGAGCAAAATAAAAGCTAGATAAAGGAAATAAGGAGATAGATCTTTCGCAAAAGAGAAGGGGACCAAGCCATGGAGAGAGGGGAAGGGAAGGGGAAGAAATGAGCATTAAGATGTGTTGTGTACATGGACCGACTCCCCATGGGAAATCTGATCATCAGGCACTACAGACATGGACCACTAAAAACACGAAAATCGGGGAGGAAAAAAAAAGAGAACACAATACAAAGAAAAGCCCGCACAGCCTGGAAGAGCCCCCCCAAAAAAAAGGCTTCCTCTTATATCCCTTAAAGGAAGAGTATAATTCCTTTCCAAGAAAAAGGGCAATCCCGGAGAGGCTTCCAAAGAGACTAGGGCAGAGAGGCAGAGAGAGACAAGGCAAAAGGCAAAATGGCGTTTCTGGAAAAAGAGACAAGATTTGGTTGAGGAAAGGGTGTTTGATTGAGTATAAGAAAAAAAGAATAAATCTGGATGAAACTAAGGCTATTAAGAGACCCAGATAGAGCAAGCAAGGTGCCTAGAGCACGTGATTCGAAGAAATTCTCTGTCATTCCCGAAGTGTGGGGGGCCTTAGACATTTGAGGCAATTCCCTTGCCTCATCCTAGACCTTTTCTGAGAAAAACAAAACAAACAAAAACAGTTGGAAGAGGAGTTATCTGGTTGGATTTGTGTTTTAGAAAGAATTATGTTTGGAAAAATGGCACGGAACTGGAGGAGACTGAGACCAGTCAGAGACATGTTAAAGAAAGATCAAAATCGCCCAGGTTGGATAGAATGAAGAGGATCTGGGCATAGGAGCCTTGAAGCTCCACCCCTCCCATGGTCTTTGGAAGTCTATCAGCTCTGTCTTCTGGAGGGCTCTCTTTGCACCTCCCCTGCTTGGCCCTTTCCCTTCCCTTGTCTGGGTTCT